CAGGAAAGAAAGAAAGGTGAACGCAGTCGTACTATGTGGCAAAGACAAAAAAAAGGGGAATTATAGAAAGAAAAAAGACCGACGGTCTTGAAAATACCCGGTATTATTACAAAGAGTAAGATGATTGCTTACGTCATTAATGGTATAGATCAAGTGCAATGAGAAGTTAGTCATTATACCAAGAAATAACTGATCTTTTCTGACATCGTAGTGTCACTTTATTATCCACCACTGTTTTTTAAATAATCTGAGTGCAAGTAGCTAGAAATCTGCGGTTTCCACCAATCGAAAGAGAAGACCGAGAGACTTCTTGAGGGTGTGGGTGTGGGTGTGTGGGGTGTGGGTGGGGTGTGGCTGTGGATGTGGGTGAGGTGTGGCTGTGGATGTGGGTGTGAATGTTCATTGTTAGTGTTCTTATCAACCACACCCACACCCTGTTTCCATCATTTTTAAACGTTCAATCTAGAGATGAAATATTTATTTCAAAAAAACAAACATTTTTTTTAAAACAAACTTCATTTTCTTTTTCTAATTGTTTTTGTTCAGCTTCATGTATATCTTGGCTGAAAATTCAACAACACATATAAATATTATATTATATTATTTTTTCCTTTTTTTTTGTCTTTTGACATACATTATATTAAATAAAAATAAATCAATTATTCATTTATAAATTTTACATATATTGTTGCTATATGTCTTATTATTAATTATTATGTTATAAAACAAATCCATGTTTTGATTATGTATGTATTCTTTGTTTTTCTTTCATTTCTAAATTCGAGATCACATCTTTGATCAGTGTCCAATTTTATCACACCTCGCATGAATTTTCTAAAATGCTGAACATTCAATCACATATTACTTATTGTTAGAGAAGCAAGAATACGAATATAAAGTATATTTTTTTGACTACTGTATGATCTCGTACACCAGCATTTATTGTTTGACAGAGTAACTGTCTAATTGGATCTCTAATGTAAATGAAAATTTCAAACATTCATCAGAAACGCGTTTAGCCGAATAAAAAAATGCTATCGATTCGATTTTATAACTGATTTAGAGTTTTCATGTAAGTACAGCAGAAAGGCAGAAAAATAGTTTATTTGAATGAGAGTACAAATAAAGAGAGCATGAGCCAATCCGATTTGATGGTTCTTTACTTTGACAAATTGGGAGAAGATCAACCAGAATGACGAATAAGTTAACTAAAACAAAAAAAAACAATAATATAAAGACCAGTGGCAAATATCTTGATAAGACGATGGAATGGCTAAGATCTACAGCACACTAGCAATTTCAAGCAAACACAAACTTTGCATCATACAGTTTCTCAAGGAAAAAAGCGATTTATATCTAACAGAGGTATCAGAAATGGCTATTCTTCGATTCTGATCTGTGTGAAAGAGCAACGGGCCAAATGAAAAGATAAAAGGATACGATTTAGCAAAAGAAAAAATTTCAAGTAATCCAAAACTTACTGGCCAGATGATATATCTTTCAGATTGTACGGAAACATAGCTATATTACCGTCCTTATCAATATATATCGATGGAATATTAAATCGTTTAAATAATACACCAATCACGAATTGTTCAGAGGGAACAAGTAAACGAGCATCAATAACAATATTTTCGGATGTCTGTTGAGAATGAAAGTATGTACTTAATGAATGATATAATCCCATCATCGAACGTTGAATATCATTGAAGACAATCTGATTCAAAAGTACTGCTTGTGAAAGTTCATGATAAAATTCATGATCATTTAATAACATGTGCATCGGCTTGTCTATGACGTTTGTAGAAATCGGAGATGAATGTGAAGCAGACGATGATGATCGGGATTTTATTCGTTCACAAATAAATTCAATTGCACCTTGTAGATTAAATCGATGACTAGCCTTCAAAAGTTCACTGGTTAAATAAGTTATTTGTCGTTGTCGATCAGCATCAATGGTAAGAAATTCACGTTGCATCTCTAATTTATCCATACTATGATAACTTTCAAGTGTGGTGATACATGTCATAGCTTGAATATTGAATGCCATGCACATAGATGAAACATATTCAACAAGTAGATGGCCATATTGTTCCAATTCCACCGGTAATTTTGGTGGTACGAAACTGAATTGAATAGGAGGTTTGGACAATGATGAATGTGATCGAATACATAATAGATGACATGCAATACCAACCGATGATAACCTGCATTTTGACATTGACCACGAATATGGTCGCCAAAGAACACGAGATAAACAATACATAGTAAGGAATAATCTACAACAAAATGCTCATTACAATCAATGAAAAGGAAGAATTCTATTTGCTCCGTCGACTGAAAAGAAGGATCATACACATATGGAATAAAATCCATATGAATGTATATGTTTGTCCGATTCCTGGTTGCATGTTAGCGAACAACCAATAAGAAATTACTTCGTGAAAGGGTACGGTAGAGGACGTTTCGTGCTGAACAAGACTAACAATCTGCAATTAAAGCTTGATCAAAGGTAGTTGAAGGTTAGAAACTCGAATCCAATGCAATGAGTTAATATCAGTTTTACTGTTACATAGATGTTGACACCTTCTAGATGGCTGAATATGTTAGTATTGAAAATCATTATTTTGAGTAAAACCAGATGCTAATACATAAAGGTAGTTGTGAAGTCGTACAGCACGGAAGGAATCAGACTGTCGTTGAAAATATTTAATTTCAAAGAGAC